CTGTGGATGAATCAAGTTTCTACACAGCCCAGTAAAGTTCTGCTACACACATTATTAGGAACTATAACTAATGGCACATGGATGAGAAGAAAACCTGTCACAGCAGTACATTTTCAATGTAACTGTTAGCAATTTGGACTAGCAGCTTTTTGTTCACTTTGTACAAATCAATTGTTTTAATGGAAAACTACAATAGCTTTGAGTTCCCAATTTTTTCATCATGTGAAATGACTTAAGAATAACTGACAAAAGGCAAAATTCATTTATCTTAGCTTCAGCCATCTATAACTAAAGTGAACTAAATTAACTGAATTAAACTATTTCTCTGGGCTGCCTGAAGTCCAGGCAATGTAATTCACTCTAAAATAGATGCTAAATGTGCAGTTTTGCAATCTTAAAGGAAGCTCATGAAGTACCATCCTTGTCAAAATACACTCTTCCTCTCCAGCCCCCTGCCTGCCACTGCTCCTGTCTTTTGTGCTGACAATCATGTAGCAACGCAGTAAAATGCACTGGGAAAGTGAACAGGTTAAAAATTAGCTGGCAAAGATAAAAATGTCAATTTAACCACAGCTGAATTCACCGTGTGGCTGCACAGTTCCTCAGCACAACAGAAGGGGTCAGATTGCTTTGGTATGGTGGCAGTGTAAGCTTATGCTCGAGGAAAGCTGTAATGTACCTAGAGAAGAAGAGGGGCAGTATGACTCACTTTCCGTTTCTCTCTCTATTGTGGACTGTTGGGAAATCAATTTATTGAGATAGGACTAAATGTCATTCATATAAAACTAAATTTCAATGAAATTACTAAGGTGTACTGCATGCCAGTTTAGTACAGTCCTAACTATTAAAATATTCAAGTCAACAAATCAACATTTCATAAAAGCAAAGGACCAAAAGCAAATTAAATATTTATATGTATAAGCAGAAGAGTAACTTTTCTGTTCATGAAATACAAGCTCCCTCTCATGGTCAGACAATAACATGCATCATTAATCCATAAAATCAAAATCTGCAAATCCTGCAGATAAAAAACATGGTTCAATTATCCACTTCTATCAGCTTCAAATAGCATTTACAATATAATTATCAAAATGAATATTGAAGCCAAACAACTCATTACTTTTTCCAAATTCACTTAGTATTTGTGCTGGTTTTAGCTGGGGTAAAGTTAATTTTCTTCACAGTAGCTAGTATGGGACTGTGTTTTGGATTTGTGCTGAACAGAGGGTTGATAACACAGGGATATTTCAGTTACTGCTGAGCAGCACCTGCACAGAGACAAGGCCTTTTCTGCTTCTCACCCCACCCCAGCACAAGGAGCTGGGAGGGGACACAGCCAGGAGCTGGGAGGGGACACAGCCAGGGCAGCTGACCCCAGCTGAACAACAGAATATTCCATACCATATGACATCATACTCAGCATTTATAGAGCTGGGGGAAGAAGGAGGAAGGGGGGAGACGTTCAGAGGAATGGCATTTGTCTTCCCAAGTCACCATAATGCATGACAGAGCCCTGCTTTCCTGGGGATGGCTGAACACCTGCGTGTACATAGGAATTGGTGAATTAATTCCTTGGTTTATTGCTTTAGTAAGCGGCTTTTGCTTTAACTAATAAACTGTCTTTATCTCAACCCATGAATTTTCTCACTTTTACTATTCAGATTCTCTCCCCCATCCCACCGGGGGAGCATGAGCAAGTGGCTGTGTGTGGCTTAGCTGACAGCTGGAATCAAACCACAACAGTCCTTCAAATATTCTGTTGTGTAGCAAAGCACTAAATTAAGGAAATCAAGAATTTTTTTAAAAGCCCTGTAAGAGTCTATGTCACTGATAGCTCAGGATTTCTAAAGAGACTTGGACAAAGAGCGATTAAAATATTCCTCAAACTTCTGTCAGTACACTTTAGCACTATTAATGGTAGGTATTTAAATTATGCTAATGTCTTTTAACTCATATTAGCTCTCCTTTTCCTGTACTTTTGTCTCTGGCAAACTTAGACTTACATTGGTATTAGCAGCCATGCTCTTACCACATTCAGATATTATTACTACTGAACGATTTCCCATATAATTTATGGAACTAGATGGGCTCCTACAAGCAGCTAATTTAACTTAATGTATTTTCTATTGCCTGTGTTATCAGTATTTCTCCTTCAACATTCATGTACAACACAAAATAACGTATGAAGTCAAAATTCACCTTAGAGCATAGCAGAAACTATACATACTCTTTAAGTAGCAAAACAGTAATTCTTTAACAAACTAAACTGAGGTTTTGTAAAAAATCAAACCAGATGCATAAGTGATCTCTTTTTACTGTTCTGTGATCAACAACAGAATGATTAGCATCCTGCAGGCAACGCTGGTGTTTTTTTTCTTTCTTTCTGCCAGTATCAGCTTTAAAATAGCAGTTTTCAAGGGACACAAGTTATAACACAGGCAAGCTGGACTAGGAACCAGAATAAACTTGTGAAAGGTAATTCTGTAAAACATATATAGCCTCACAGCAGTATATACTGAGAGCTGATAGCAATCTTCACACAGATCCTGACAATAGCAGCCCAGAGTTTCCAATATTCTCTCTTGTAGCCTTCTCTCTAAAATTGTGTATTCAGGTTACTATCCACAGAACAGAAATGCTTTGACATACAGCCTGTTTTGAAATAATATATGAAATGTATTAAAGAAAAACTCTATGGCACATTTCTGCTAATATAATTCTTTACATTAGAAGGTATATGTATGTGTCAAGTACAGCCCAGAAAGTATGTGGTCTTTTCAGCAGAAGGCAACACCTGCAGTAGGTTTGGCCCTTAGAGAGTTGTCTGCTAATGTTTTGTAAACATTGCATGCAAATTAAACTGTCTTGCAATTAGCTCAGTACCTGTACTCTTGCATTAAAGGAATTACACATGTGACATGCTTGGAGAAGGGGGAGAATCCCAAGAACGCTCTTGTTTACCTAATCAGTTCTGAGGAGTTCACATGGATTTTTTTGTTTAGTATTATTTCATATTCCAAACTGCACTGCCCTGAAGGACATCTGTGTATTAATAAATTACTTATTTTGATCATTATTTTTACATAAAATTCTTTGCAATTTAATATAATAAAGATGTACATAGAAGCTACTTAATGTACTAATTTTTTTCTTAGTCATACCTGGCCTTTCCACTGATTTCATATGTAATTGAAATAATACTTTTTCAGTGTTACATAATTACAGAGCTAAATTACTTTTTTTCTGGCACAACCATCAATACAAAAACTGAATTTACTTTCATGAATTATAGGTTACCTCTAGAGAAGGAATATTAGCATTTCAAGAAGGCACAAAAAGATACTCTGAAATCAGTAGCAATTCAAAAGTTACATTTATGACAATCTCCAAGAAATGTTAAAAGTGAAGTCATACATGTTAAACATTTTCATTTATTTTAACATTTTATTCTGGTAAAGTTCATCTCCATACCCTGTTTCGGAACTAAATTCAGATAAAACAAACATCACTGTATAAGTGTACACACAGAAGAACAGGCCTAAAGTCAAGAAACTATCCATTATGTTGGAAAATGTAAGCACTGATGTAAGAAACATTTTTAATAAACAGAAGTATTAGGAGAAGGTAATAAAATACAGATGTAGTTCTAATATAAGCAAAGAAAGCTTATACAAAGAAGCTCACCAGTGAGTATCAGTAGTTATGCTTCACGAAGAAAATACAGGTTTGCTTGTTTGCCAAATTCAATTGTACTATGAATTTGTCTACTAGGAACGTTTGTCAAACGGTCAACCTCTGATCTCATCTCTACATGTCTAATTCTGACCAAAACCTGGTTCACTAATCTGTGTCAAAAATCACTCATAACAAATTCCTTCATTTTCTATAGTTAAAAAAGTATTTGGCTCTCCATGTTTACCAACTTAATTAATTTTGAAGTTCTTAACTATTAACTTCTCAAAATCAAAGGTTACTGTCACTAACAGAAACCATTCACCTATTCTCACAAGAGGTACTGAAAGGGAATACAGTTTATTAATTAAGTAACTGTTTATAAAACAGGACAGATACCATTCTGTCACCTTTGAAAGAAATCTAAACACAAAGACAAGGATGAGGAAGCATATAATCCAATAACTGAAGAAATACTTGGTAGATTCAATCTTTGAGGTAAGCATGGGATTAATTGACCACTGAAGCCTCTGTTCAGTTTCTACCATACTGAACATTAGAAATATTTCCGTATCAAGCACTGCATAAAATAATAAAGCATTGCCCAATAACAGCATAAGCAATTTGGTAAGTTGAAACTTTCAACTTTACTTTAAAATGTAAGTTTAAAAATACTAAATGTTTTCCAACAGCACTTCATAAATTAAACTAATGAATTGCTACAGAAAACACTGTATTAATAAATACTTTTTTCATTTTTCCTCTGCATTGGACTGCAAAGAGGTAGTGCCACAGCAGCAGTCCTTGCTACTCCGCAAAATGTCCTATATGGGTTATTGCACTATTAAAAAATGGTGTGACCTCACATTCCTCAGAGCACAAAAGATAATTCATCAATACTGAAAAACTCTTTTAAGGAGTCTTTCCAAGGAATAGTTGGAATTGCCGGGATAGTTTTAAAGGACACCAATGAACTACAGACACTACTGTTCTCTGAGAATTTTTATTAAATATCTGTAAACAGCATTGTTTAAGTATAGACTCATAAGCAAATAAAAAAATTGGGCCAAAACAAGGTAGCATGGAGTCTTTACATCCCATCTACAAATTTGTACCATGGTTTTTACATATGCTAAATAAAAAGATATCAGAGAACAGTACTGTCTGCCATTCATTGATATTCTTTTGAACTAAGCCAAGTATGCTACAAAATTCATTATGTAGCCTTTAACAATTGTAAAATTATTATTGACTAAACTTGTCTTTGTGCTCCATTCTCATTTATCTAAAAGTCTTTAAAGTATTTAAACTAAATTGACAAATTGTACCTGCTATTTCCATAAGTATAGTTGTGTTTTCTGCTAACTTCACAAATCCAACTTGATTTTTGAAGTGATCAATTCCTTGAAAAGACAAATGCACTCTTTTTCCTCTCAGGAGATCTTCTACAAAGACCTTGCTGTCTGAAAGAGCATCAACTGCTCTGTCAAGAGGAAAGAAAATATCTACGTCAAATATATTTATACTGTTAACATTGCCATTAATCATCATATCAAAAAATATAACAAAGTTTTTTTTAGTATCAATTTATTTTCTAAGAGACTCACAAGGATCATCAAGTCCAACCCTTAAGTGAATGGCCCATGTGAGGATCAAACCTGCGACCAATGACACTACATATATAATGGTAAAATTATATGGAAACTACAATTAAGCTAGTTGAGAACTGTACTATGTAAATTTATGCTTACTTTCTGTAAGAATTGAGGCATGGCCACAATAAGTAAAGTGACAGGTACAAACCTGGTAACCTTTTAATAATCATTTTAATTAGCCACTTCCAGTGTATGTACAATTACATAATTACATGAAATAGTTGTTTTGACCTGAACTTAAGTCAATTGCTAAACAAAAAACACATACACATTCTTAGTATTTTCTAAAAGATCCCTCACATGCTCACAGTTTTTAACTCTACTCAACAAAACCGAATTCAGTCTTTTCCCTAAACCGATGCAAACTTTATAAACGCTAGATGGCAGTAATAGGTTTAAAATGTTCAAATGAGGTAATTTTACTTTTTCTGTCCTAGCTGGATGAAAGCCATAATCATGATTTCTACAGTAGGTTACATTATATTATTTAAGCCTGTACAGTTACAAGCAGCTTTACACATGTTTTCATTGTGTTTAACTAAATGAACTCTCGATGAGAACTGTGCATTAATTGAAACCGAGGCCAGATTAAGAAAGACATTGAGGTTGCTTATATGACAAAATATCCTTGATTGATAAGAGTCCTCTTGTGGTCTTTTTACAGAGCTTTAATCTACAATCTAGAAGCATTTTAGCTCCTGTATAACCACTTTAAACAACGATGCCATTACTTGTTCCTTGGCAGTGACATTTTACCTTGAGCATAGTCTCTGTCACTTACCTACCTTTTATCACCATTGGACAAGCCTGTTCCTGCATCTTCCCTATGTGCTACATGTCAAGATCTTTCCAAAACACCATCTAATACTGGTTAAGCCTGTCAGATTATTGCACACATAATCACGTATAGATTTATTTAACAACATGAAGCTGAAGAACAGATATTTCAAATACAAAGCTTGCAGTGGGCTTTCAAGCTGTGAATCATGCACATATCTAAAACCCATCTCTAGATTTTGTACATATAAGAACTGGTACACAAAGAGTCATAGAAAGCTCTGTTCCTCAGCTGAAGGAAGATTTATATTTCCATACTGTAGGGTTGGCTGCTGAATTCACTGACGAGCTCAAGCTCTATGAAAGATCAATTCAAACAGTGCACTATGTTTTCAGTATAGCACTGTGGCACTGAAGATTTAGTTCTACTTTTTCTTTTATATATAATCTTACAAATGCTAAAGTATTTGGAAAAATAGTTATCATCTCACTCTATCTTGGGTTCTGTATTCTATCAATCACTTGATAATGTCTAACAATTGCTTTTTAAGAAAAATGCACAAGGAGAAACAGTTCCACTGAAGTCAACAGAAAAAAACACAGCAGTGTTATTTTCTTGTTATTCCATACCAAGCAGTAGTATTTACAATGCCAACTAGTAGTTACACTCAGTGCAACTAACCCATAGAGATATCAAAAAGTTACAGGCATTTTGATTCAAAGTGTAAAAAGGAAATAAAGAAAATAATTAAACAACATATTACCAGTAAATAAAAACTAGAATTATAGGAGCAGTGCTTGTTTTCTTTCTCTATTGTTGCAATTTAAATATTATAGCATTTAAAATTCATGTAGTTTCTTTTTAGAAATTTCTGAGTTGTTAATTTTGATTACTTGGTAGAGAATGCAATCTGGCAAAAAAAGCCAAACTAAATTCTTTCAGCTCTCTTATTTGTAAAGAAAAGGTGAGATTCATGAAGTGTTTGACAGAAAACAAGCAAGAAAAACTTGGCATGATAATCTCATATTTACTGCAAAGGCAGGCATCCTGATTTCTAGCACCTGACTATACAGTTAGCATGGATTAGGACTCCTATGCTCGAAGGGAGTGTTGTCATGACTCTTGCTTGCTTGCTTTCTGTCTAGTTTCAAAATCTCACATTCTTGATTTCATACAGTCCTACAAAAAGAGATGTAAAGTGTATTCATGGAGGTTAGACCGCAGTCAATCGTTAGGAAGCTCGCATGGGAACTGCAGGTCTGGATTCCCTTAGAAAGAACGGCCTAGAATACAGATATTCCATTTTTCAGGGTGAAAGCTGTATGTACTAAAATACCATACAAAGGGCTTTGTGCCGAATTGAATGTTATGTTTAGCACATTCTTATCACGCATTTTGACTTCAAATAGCATTCAACACATTTCATTTCTGTATAGACAGAGGCACTATTGTGCAAACACAGTTGAAAAACTGTAGATATCTAAGTAACTTAATGGATCCAAACCTAAGGATCTGTGAACTCTGAGATGCCTGGTTGACTAGCTACACTTTGTTTGAGAGATTATTTTCCCTCTACATTACACACAAGTTCTTTTGCCAGGCTGGATCTTCGTTTCTTTCCATTAATCTGGTATCAAAAATTGGTGGAGCAAAGAAAGCAAAAGTCAGCTTTTTACTCTTTGAGTTCTCCCAAAAGATTAGACAAAAACCCTCAGTTATTATAATAAAAAGGAATCTCATACAAAAGAACATGCAATCTGCAATACCTGAAGATAGCTGAGCTAGAAACCTATAGGAGGCATCTGGCCAGGGAAGGGGTCAATCTCTTTGGAAGCTGCTGCTGACTAGAGGACAGTCCTTAGTGCCTGGACTGTAGAGTTCTGCTAGGAGAGGCAGAGAAGAACTCTGTAAGTCAGTACTTCAATGGCAGTCAGACAGTGAAAGCTGAGAAGGAGCTCAAAGAGTAGCAGAAGACAGAGTTTGAAAATATTTGTTTTGGTATACAGTTTTGGACTCTAAAAAGTACTTGTGAGGAGGCATACTTGCCTTTGAGATACGTTTTCGCATTCATTTTTTAAGAAGTTCGTACTTCAAACTCTTTCAAAATAAAATCTCACACAAACAGTTGGTGGTTTTCAGGTGCTATCACAGTTTGCTCATGAACCAGGCAGGAGGAAGTTTGTGTGCTTCCTTCTGGAAACAAAAGGCATGTGGAGAGGGGAGGGAATGCATCAGATCTAGTATCCTTTGTTTGCCTTTCTAGTCTCTGTTCCTGGGTGTTTTTCTCCCTTTACATCAGACTCTTGGGGATGAAGATGCTGACAGATTTGCATCTTTGCAGGAGAGGTAGGAGAGTAGAGGCCTCAAGGATATCGCATTCAAGGATGAGAAAGCAAGCATGAGAAACAAGTAGGATAACTGATTTTGATATATTAATCTTTCATAATTTCAGGGGTGTCAAATGTTTTTAGCCAGAATACTCCTACTTATCGTAAGCATGCCTTTGACTTCTAAATGGCCCCCACATTCTATTTTGGATTTTCACTTCCTTATGAGTAATCTGCACTTCAATAGATTTTTAATTCCCATGTGAGTGTGTTAAGTGTCCCCTATATCAATTAAAATAATTACTTTAGCAAACATGGAATTTGTGCATGCCGAGTTCAGCACACAGGAAGAAAAATGCAAGGGAAAAATGAAAACTTTGTTCAGGGCCCATGACATACCATAAGTTATGAAAATGGCTAATATTAAGATCAGCATTTTAAAACCAACATGAATTAAATGTTCAATAACACTGTAATTTAGGGTTGCATTTGGAAAAAAAAAAAAAAAAAGCATCAGTTAACCCTTCTAGTCATTTTATGAACACATCCAGAAAAAATACTAATATATACTTAATTTAACACTAAATACCTACGTGCTAATTTCTTCTTCATTGGATAAATGCATCACTAACATGGTGACATGCAACGAGCCAGAGCGAACCATTGCTTTGGAAAGCCTTTGATCCTTTTGTATTATTGCATCTTGGACAGCCTGAATACTGACAGTAATCTGGGAAGAAAGACAGAAACAACAGTTAGCCACTATAATTACTGTATCCCATCATGCAAGTGAACAAGAAAACAGACAAACTGAAACCAAACGTTTATGTAAAAACCATTCTAGCAGAAGAAAGTTTTATCCTCTGACAAAGATGTGCTAATTGACCTGAGTGAACCCCAACTGGGCACGAATAGAGGGACTGGACACTGCCCATCACATCTTAATAGGAGTTTCCTTCCATAAGTATGATAAATTACCGAAGGAGATAAGGATTATCCAGTTTTACACTACCCTTCTTCAAGGAATTTCTCTGCCCACTTTGCTAAGCTTGTGTGTTGATATGTGCAGAAAAGTGACTGGAAAAACAAAGAGATCTTTGCAGGATCAGGCACAAACAAAAAAGGAATATTCAGTACATGCCTTGTAGTGATATTCAATTTGCAATTCTGATTATTCTGTCCAATAACTGATATAATTTATATACTCTTCAAACGTATTTTAACAAATTTCCATACAAAATGTATTCAGCTCTAACACTGTCAGTCTTTCTCTTTAAAATGGGAATTACATTTTCTTCACTGAAAATTATTTATATGCTTATATATACTCTATATATTGTATCCAAAATATTTACTGTGCTTGACATTATGCGAGTTGTATTGCAGTGATTTAAAAAACAAAATACCAAAACCCTGCAACAATTCTTGAAAATGCTAGTGAAAATTAAATCAAATCCAATAATATTGACCATCTAACAAAATGAGTTATTTCTTAAAGCACAGTAAGCAAAGACATTACAGACAAATCAGTTTTGGTGTATAAAGTCTAAAACAAGCATGTAGAAAACTTCCATTTGATTTTTTTGTTGTTTCTTTAAAAGAAACCAGGTGTTGTTTATTTATAAGAAATCTTTATTTACAAGATACAAATGTACTGTACATGCTGACTTCTATAAAATCAACACAAGTAGCTCTCAGGTTAAAAATAAAAAGAAAAAGGCTTGAGATATTTTGGTAGCTCTGTTAATTGTAAGGAACACGTAAATTTCCTGGAAAAAAACCACAATCTAATGGAAGTGTTCAGTATTTTTCTGACCAAATTTCTTAAGATGAGTTTTGCCATGCAGGAGTTTTTACCTAATGTGCATTAGATACCTAGTAGTGTAATAAAAATATAACTAAATTATAACTCAAAGGAACCAATGCTAGGGAGGGTAGGGTAGAGGAGAGAACATAAAAGCCACTTGCCCGAAAAGGTGATATGGCATCTACAAAACCATAAGTGTCTTAGACAGTGTAAGACATACGAAGAAAATTCCACCAACATTTTATCATAAATCGTATTTTACTATGACAATCTTCCTTCATATGTCAGAATTGACCTTATCCTGGATAAACAGCACTTCTATTGTCTCAGATATAGGAGAAATTTAACCAACATTTAGGCAAAGAACTGGTAAGTGGAATCCCCACTAATTACGATGTAATGACTGAATAATTATTTCAGTTTATAAAGTAAATTAAAAAACTAAATAGATTATGGTATTAATTACACTTTTATTCTATTTTCAGCTACTGCTTCTAAATTTCATTTGCTCCTGTGAGCTGGCAAAAGAAAAGATACAGAAGACAGATGTGGAATTGTGTTCTCATTGCAGTAAAAACCATCCTAGCTCTGAAAGAGATCAGTGTTATTCAGCATTTAGATTAGCAGCCAATACCCCACCATCCATATAGTTTCCTTCAGATGTATTTCCAGATCCCTTCCTGCTCTTGTCCTAAACTACCTGCAGCTCCCTCATATAATTCAGTTCTAGCTTGGGCAAGAAGCAACTCATGCTGGCTCATCTCCATCTACAAGGGGTTGACTGACTGACAAACACGCAGAGACTCATTTGTCAGCTGGCAGGTCTAGAACAACAGGCAATTGCCACACACACACTTGAGTCTTCCACACAAGCATGTTCTTTGAAGGCTTGCTCTTTTATGCAAGCAGCAATTGCACAAAACGCTACAGGAAATTAGTACCTCTGAGGTGTCAATTTTTCAAAACTGGACAACAGGTTGAAAACCCACAGCAGGCTCAAAACCCACAAAAACCCAGTGGACAGGCTCACACCTGTATAAACTCCATTAGAAGACCAAGCTAAAAACCTAATGAATAACGTGGCTTTGGAACAGGGTTAAGTCCAAAGATGGCCAGTCAGCAGTTCCAGAGAGAAGCTATTTCTGAACCCATGAAGAAAGTATGAAAAAACTTGCCTTTTGGATATAAGTAAAATAAGAAGACTGAGCATGTTCTCTCTCTATCTGGCTGAGTCACAGTGCTCTGCATAATCAACACTATTTTGAAAGAAAAAAAAAAAATAAAATTCAAGTACATTTTTCTGAATTTCAGATATTTCTTTTTAAGGTGTTTTCTCAGAAGTTATCTGATCAAAATGTAACACAACAGAGGTGCCATCACAATGCATATTATAACTTCAGATTTGTTTTGTTTTCTCCAATAAACCTAAGGTGCAATTAACATTTGAGTGTACTGAATTTTAATTAAGCAAACTAGGACTCTTCCAATGCTGTTATGACCCACTGCATAAATAAAAACTTTAAATTGCTCTTAAACCTGTTATTTACATTACCTTACAAAGTTTTATGTTACACTTCAACTGCTATCATGCTGACTATTTTTACTTAAGATTTCCTAACTTAATTAAATGTTGGAAGGTAGATTATATCAGTGCCCCCCCCCGAATTTTTTTTTAAATGCTCAAAAAAAAGGCCTCAAATACTGATTTCAAAGTCCCCTCTCCCATTACTTGAAATATGTTATTCTGAAGACTGATAGAATAACACAGTTTTGCTTAGAGCAAGGATACCACTAATAAGTAAATATAAAGACTCTGAGTTTTAAAGGTTTAACAAATCAATTATAATTATAATCAAGAGTGGAGAACCTGGGAAGGCTAACCTACCAAGTGATAACACACCATGTAAGTCATGACTTAAAAAAAACCCAAATCAACAAATGAACAGAAAAAGATACAATGATCATTGTCTATTTAACTATTTTTGCACAAGTAATAATGCAAAGTTCAATATAAATTCAAAATTAATGAAACAACACCTTTTATTTCTGAAGATTCAAAAACATAATTAAATTAAAACAAGGAAACTGTTCAATTTCCAAGAGGAACAGTTTATTAAATGTTTAAGAAATATCCTTTTTACATAATGTCTCTCTGTGTAAACCTTATATTACTACATAAAACATGAAGGAAGAGTACTAATGCCTAAAATACTTCACTGGAACAAAATCAGATTTTCAAAAAAATAAAAGTCTCCCATTACTAACTGAAATAACTACCAGCAATTGCCAGATTCCCTCTGGCTATAAAGGAACCAGGTGTCTAAATTTTGGCTGATGTTGCCTATGCAAATTTCAACGCGTACTTTTTACAACTCTACCTCCAAAGCAAGTAAAAACAAAACCTTCTAGCAAAGTCCTGGAATTTCCAAATGCTCTGAGATTTAATTTAGAGAGTTGTTTCTTTACCTCTGTAAATTATACATTACTAAAATACATGACATATAAAAAAGCATGCACAGTTAAGACCTCTCCAATCAGCCTCTGAACATAACAATCATGAGCAGGAATTCTCAATTATCAGATTATATAACCCCTACATTATTCTTGCACTTGTTAAGTCATGGAACAGACAGAAAAGATATTTCAGAATAAGATGGTACAAAAGATATCCCACAATATTTGTATCAGGGTATCCTGAATCCTACAAACCCAGCCCTTACAATCTTTTCTTCACATAGTAAGTTTTGAAGAACCAAAGACTGCACTGTAACTTTCAAACCTACTTTGGTCTATTTTCATTTCATTTCATATTCTCTTAATCTTCTTTTACATTCTTAAAGAACAGACAGTACAGATGTAGGACAATTCAAAATTCACCCGAGATAGCTCCCGTTCTTAAAAAAAAAAAAAAAAAACCAGCTAAATTTGTAAATGACGTTAAACTGCTGGGTTCAACTTTTTAAACATATTGCGCCTACTTTCCTTGTTTCAGACACAAAAGGTATCAAAGACGTACCAGAGATAACACATAGCCTATAAAAAAAAAAAAATCATTCTCATTTACTGCTTAAATGAGATGACTCGTGCTAACTGCAAGAAAATACATTTTCCTAAAGAGTTCTCTGCTCTTCTTGAATCCATTTGAACAACATCTCACTAAAACAATAGTTGTTTGAATTTTAAATAAGATGATCAATTTTACTAGAAAATATTAAGCCATAAACTGCAACACTAAAAGAGCAATTGATCCAAATATAAGTTCCTATCTATAAGGAAAGCTAAAAATATTGCTAGAGACTTTTTTATTAAATTAAAAAGGAATGTTTCTCTTCCTTATTCTAAGTGAAAAACAAAATCAGCAATACTGTAACAGTACAGAGGGAACTTTCAGACAGCTTTAGTCAAGATAATGTGATATCCATAAGACTGACAAACTGAATACAAAGATAAATATTTTTCCTCCAGTCTTTTCCAGATAAGCAATTTTATTCACAAAAATATTACCTTAAGTTACTCTTTGAATAGGCTGCTAATGTTCCTTTAAAAATCCCTGAAAAAAATTGTTTGGTGCAATATCAAACACTGTTCTTTTTATAAACAAAGTAATTCTGGTTATATCAAATTAGTATAACAAAGAATATCACCTTTGGATTAGTAATTGGAAGAGAAATGAAATAATTCGGTTGATACTGTTTATTCTTTTTCTTCTTCCTCTCGATGTCTTCTTCAATTTCCCTTCCAGTAGTCCTCTTCCTTTTCTTTTTAGTATTTATTTCAGAGGTTGCATGCACTGAAGAAAAAAAAAATTACTTTCAGCATACAGACATATCAAAACAAAGACACTCTTAATATCACACAAACAGGAATTGTACCTCTGGAGCATCTCTTCCCACTCATCAGATCTGCCCATGCTCTGAACTGTCTGACTGGGATCCTACTCCAATCTGAATTAATGTCCTACAAGTGGAATACCATACTTGAACTAACAGCCTACACCTCTAAGCAGGGCTTAGAAACTGCTAACATAGTCACATGTGGCTTCCAAACTACTGTTTCATTTAGTCAACGCAGGCTGCACTGCAATAGCCCTGCAAATTGTCTACACTTCAACTGTAGAGCCTTTACAGACCCTCTCCCACCATGTGGCCTGATACATACTCATAAGCTGACCAGGCTGACAGCATCCCCTGTCCAATTAGAGGTGTACTCCTAGCTCCATGCTGGGAATACACATATTGGAAGACAGCTCATAAACGCCATCACTTTAGAAGCTCATATACTGTAATGTAAATTGACGTATGAAATGTCTTCATTCTGTGACTCATTGCTCCAAAGGATAACAAAAGGGTGATTTTTTAATATGTTCAAGTACTTGCAGGACTGAGTACTAGTAAGAGAGGCTCCGGACTGAAACCTGTTTGCAGGGAGACTGTTCCATATGCACAGCCCACTTGTACGTGCTGTATTGGGTCTGGCTGAGACAGAGCTCATTTCCCCATAGCAGCCCTCACAGTGCTGTGCTTTGCATTGGAAGCTACAAGGGTGTTGATAGCATACCAGTGTTTTGGGTACTGCTGAGCAGTGCTGGCATGGCACCAGCACTGTGTCTCAACATTGCTCCCCCCTTAAAAGAGGGCAAGACTCTGGGAGGGGACACAACCAGGCCAGCTGACACAAAATAACCAAAGGGATAATTCCATACCATATGACACCAGCTCAGATATAAAAGCTAAGAAAAGGAGGAGGAAAGCGAGGGCATTCGATATTTACAACATGTGCCTGCTGAGAAACTCCTTCATGTGCTGAAGCCCTGCTTCCCAGGAAGTAGCTGAACACCACTTGCTAATGGAAAGCAGAGAAAACACCTTGTTATTTTCCTCTTTGCTTGTGCGTGTGCAAACTTTCACTTTTGCTTTAGGAAACTCATTGCCTTATTGCAACCCATGAGTCTTTTTCCATCTTATTCTGTCTTGCCTATCTGGCGGGGAAGGGGAGTGACAGAACGGCTTGGTGGGCACCTGGTGACCAGCCAAGTCAACCCTTCACACACGCCAACAGGCAGGACCAAGAACTGAGTGCATGACGTCTCTATACTTTCACATTACTTCTGTTTATTGTACTTACTAACACATTCATCTTCGATATCTGTGTCAAGAAATGGCATTTCTGCCATTAGAGAGTCTACTGAATCGGCAGCACAGGGCTCTTCTCTCTGTTGTGTCTTATTCTCCATAAAGATTTTCTTTTGCTGTACATTTTCAAGCCCATCTGTAACATATTTAAAATAACACACTGGGTCTTACTTTTTAATATAAACAGCTAAGAGACATAATACACAAGCAACATACCAAGTATACATTTCTCTAATTATCAGCAAATAAATATTGACATATAACCCCCCTTAAGGATCCTATTCTTCTTCCTTGTCAACAGATCAGTAAAAATACAAAAACATTTTCTGTGGAATAGCAAAAAAAGAGAGTTCAGTCTTCTATATTTTAACAACTTATGGTCTTATTTGATTCCAAGTAAATGCATTTACATACAAAAAAAAAAAAAGAATGCTTATAACTGAGTATAAAAAAAAGTCTTCAGACAACACATAAAGTTCATTTTAGACAACAGTAATGGTATATGAAACTCAATGCAGACAAACATTGACAAATTAATTCCACTATAAACACACTGAAAATGAGACATGGAGAAGCAGCAAGGGAATCCTATGATTCCACATAAAACAAAGGGTTCTCAGTTGACTACAACACTCAGGAATGAGATGATTATTCTATTCCTGCATCTCCCACACAGTACAGAATGTTTTGGATAGCAATGGCCTCAACCTGTCATTCAAAGACTAACTTTCAGTATTTAAGTGAAAGATGGAACCAATATAAATCAAAACACATCTTTCAGGGAACAAGATACACATGAAGCTCTATCTCAGAGTAATACACAAAGAACAGAATAATCTCCACTAACAAGTTTTTTAAAAAGTCTTTTTCCCCAAGAGTACCAGCTAAGCATGAGTCATTTCCCTATGTCTGCTTCATGTTTCTGCATCAGTAAACTCTAACATTGTCATATTTAGTTATACCTTAAAAAAAAGAAAACATAAAATCTTCTCTAGCAGCAAACAATGTGCATATAACCAGGCACCCAGCAATACTCTTTTGGGACAACTCCACAATGGGATTACTGTAGTGGAAGAAGCCTTATGTCAGAATTGCAGTTTATCCCAGGTCAGCTCATTACTACAGACAACGCACTTTCAAAGCTCCTCTTATGACCAGTGCAGATAGCCCAAATCTGGCCCAAGAGGAAAATTCAGAAGCAGAAGTGCATATTATGTTCTTTTGGCATGCAAGGCTATACATGTATAAAATCAATATTACAGATCCAATGTGGGTGATTATCGCCCTGTGGAATTTTTCTGCACTTATCACTTTATGCTAGGGAAGATAAGTAAAAGAACAACATGACTAAATGCTAATTCACTCCAGGTGTAGGGAGGTATTCTGGAGGTATTCCCTCCAGAAGTAGGGTGGTATAAATCACTCTGTGGTTGCAGTCTGACATCTAATTTTATCCCCGAGGCTACTCAAAGGAAACAAAGTATTTAGATTTGTTGCTTGTTTCCCCTGTAGATACTAAAGAACTATGCATAACAAACAGATGTTAAAACAATAATAAAATTATTACTTAACATTTAGATTAAAGTAAAGCTCAAACAAAACAGATTGTTGCAGCTAATCCACAAGCATGCAAAAACAACAACCCTGGATTTAAAGAGATCTCACTCAAAGTGAAGGACAAGACAGAGGGGCATGAAACTGACAAACAAGTAGGTCAGTCTGGGGCAGAAAAGTTGGCAGCAACACTCAGAAATGCAGAATCATAACCAGCTGGGAACAAAGGGATTTGTTAAGGCAGTGTCAGCTACAGAACAAGGATTCACATGAATTTGAGGTGTGTATATTGCAAATTACAGGTTTCCTTTGCTCTGTCTGCTCAAAAAGCAACATACTTGTGCCACTTTGAAAAATTCTGCCTGTTCACAGTAGCAAAGGCACAGCTAGTAATTGACAGTTCCCCTCCTCACATCAGTTAGCTGAACTGAACAGGCACTGTGTCTAAGTTACACAGGTTGTGCCTCTAGCAAAAAAAGCTCCCTCACTTTTTTAGAAATACTAATTAAAATTAAAATTAACATCAACAAAATTAAAGAATTGTGTTCTAGACAGTAAAACAGCCTGAAAAGATTTTTCAAAACTCTTGACATGATGTTGATAATCTGAGACCTAGAGTAACAAAACAAGCTTCCACAGAAACTCCTTGACCATCAAGCTGTTATAGAATAAATTTTTCTTCTTAACTGCATGCTTAATTATATTAGCCTGAATTTCATAGATGAACAGGTGTATACATTATTCTCGTATTTGTATTTGTTTAATTCACTGACCATCTTCATCAGCACTTGTCATATGTTCCAGCAGAAAAAAAAAATCATGATGCACCTATATCATAAAGGAGAGAACACAAAAATAAGGAGCAACAAAACATTATTGATAGCACTCTGTTCCGAGCTGTCTTCTCTCCATAATCAGATTATAGTTTCGGATAGAATAATTTTCTGTTATTTGACACATAAACATTACAGATCACAGTGAGATTAGGTCTCCAGGCACTGTACTCTGTTTACTGTGTTTAATTTGTTTATCACAGAATCAATTAGGTTGGAAAAGACCTCTGAGATCATCAAGTTCAGCCTATGACCAAACACCACCATGTCAATTAGACCATGGCACTTAAGTGCCACATCCAGTCTTTCTTTAAACACCCCCAGGGACAGTGACTTCACAACCTCTCTGGGCAGCCCACTCCCATATCTAATCACCCTTTCCATGAAGAATTTCTTCCTAATGTCAAACCTAAACCTCCCCTGGTACAGATTAAGACTACGTCCTCTTGTTCTATTGCTTATTTCCTGGAGAAGAGGCCAACTCCCACCTGGCTACAACTTCCCTTCAGGTAATTGTAGAGAGTGATAAGGTCTCCCCTGAGCCTCCTCTTCTCCTAAATAGGCTAAACAACAACAGCTCCCACAGAGATTCCTCATAAGCCTTGTGCTTCAGACTCTACACCAGCTTCGTTGCCCTTCTCTGTACTGGCTCCAGCACCTCTATGTCCTTCCTGAGTTGAGGGGTCCAGAATTGGACACAGTACTCAAGGTGCAGACTCACCAGTGCTGAGTACAGAGAATGAATTACTTCCCCAGTCCTGCTGGCCACATTATTCTTGATCACATTGGCCAGGATCACATTGGCCTTCTTGGCCACCTGGACACACTGCTGGTTCGTGTTCAGCTGGCTGTCGACCAGCAGCCCCAGGTTCTTTTCCACTGGGCCACTTTCCAGCCACTCTGCCCCCAGCCTGTAGTGCTGAATGGGGTTATTGCGGCCAAAGTATAGGACCTGGCACTTGGTCTTGTTGCACCTCATGCCACTGGTCTCAGTTCCTTGATCCAGCCTGTCCTTCTGCAGAGCCTTCCTAAACTCCAACAGATCAACATCTCCCCTAGCTTGGTGTCATCTGCAAATTTGCTAATGGTACACTCAATCCTCTCATCCAGATTATCAATAAGATATTGAACAGGAGTGTGCCCAACGCTGATCCCTGAGGGATACCACTAGTGACTGGATGCCAGCTGGGTGCAGCACTTTTCACCCCTCTGAGCCCAGCCCTCCAACCAGTTATTAACCCAGCACAGGGTGCCCCTGTCCAAGCTGTGGGCTGATAGCTTTTCTAGGAGTGTGCTATGGGAGACAGTGTCAAAGACTTTGATGACATCCAGGTAGACAAATCCTCATCCACCAGGTGGGTCACCTGGTCTTCCTTTGGCACATAGGGATGGCCTGCTCCTGCGCCTTCAGGATTTCTTTCTTAAAGTATGTGCAGCCTTCCTGGGCCCCATTTTTTTTAAGGGCTGCTTCCCAAGGGACTCTTCAAATCAGTGTCCTGAATAGGCCAAAGTTCACCTTCCAGAAGTACAGGGTAGAGGTTGTATTGATGCCACTCCTTACGTCACTAAGTATTGAAAACTCCATCACTTCATGGTCGCTGTGCCCAAGACAGTCTCTGACCATCACATCTCCCATCAGCCCTTCTCCACTTGTAATTAGCAGATCTAGCCGGGCCCCACCCCTGGTAGGCTTGCTTATGAGCCATGTCAGGAAGTTGTCTTCCACGCGCTCCCAAAACCTCCTACAGTGCCTCCTCTCCGCTATGTTGAGTTTCTGAAGACCTTATAGCCACCCACTGCAGCATTCCAGTCACACAAATCATCCCACCACATTTCCGTGATGGTGACTACATCAGAGCTTTTCTACTGCATGATGGCTCCCAGCTCCTCCTGTTTGTTACCCATATTGTGTGCATTGGATGCATTTCAGCTGGGCTGCCAATTTTGCCCCTAACTCTGGCATGCCACCCCCAATCTCATCTCTTGTGAGCCTGGTCTCACGCCTTTCCCTCTTCAAACCCTCTCAATCAGCCCTGCCAACTCATGGTCTAGAATCCTTTTGCCCTAAGAGACGGGTGAACCCCATCTGTCTCCAGTAGGTGTGGTGCTGTATAAACCTCCTATGATCAAAAAAAACAAAATTCCATTGATGGCACCCATCTTTAATTTTTAGGCCACTTGTTGATCACATGGGGTTTCATGTTCCTTTCGGCATTCATTCCTGCTACCAAAGGAATTGAGAACACCACCTGTACTCCTGTCTCTTCAATCAAACAACCCAGTACCTTGAAGTCCTTTTGATTATTTCGGTACTTCTCTCATCAATCTCATTGCTGCCAACCTGGACAACCAGCAGTGGATAGTAATTAGTGGAACAAATTTGTCCAGGGAGTCTCCTGGTGCTATCCCTTACCCGGGCCCCAGGGAGGCAGCAGACTTCCCTGTAAAATGAGTCTGGTCGGCATATAGGACCCTTAGGTCTGCTCAGAAGTGAGTCACTCACTACAACTACCCTTCTTTTTTTCTTAATAACTGTATTTGGGATCCATCTGGTGACTCTGTCGATAAAGGAGACCCCACAACACAGACTTTCTTTTACACTGATGTCTGCCTGACCCTTGAGATTCAGGGACACAAACCTGTTTTGTAAGGACATCTGGGAGGGCGAGGGATGCCGGGAGGGGATTTTTCTACCTCTCTGAGCTGTTTCTGACCCATGGTAAGAGGGTCGGGGCTCCTTTGACTCTTGTTGAGCTTCCATCCACTGCTTTGTGTTCATATTTTTAAAAAAAAATTTCTTTGGCAACAGTTTAACTTAGAGTTGCTGTAGAAATAGATGGTTTAGCGTCGAGACATTTTGAACCCCCGGTGCTGGCACCAATGTTTAAAGTTAGGGAACAAAGAAAAGAATAATAATAAAAATTTGGGGGGTAAAAAACAGTGGGTTTAGTATTCAAGCAGGTCGGCTGCTACACTGCCTGGCAAGCCTGGGGACTGTGCGGGGGAAGAGCAGGGAAGACCTTTCGGCAACAGCGCGCAATCAAGAAGTTTTTCCCCTACACCCCACCGCGGCCCGCACGCAAGCGCCGGCGAGGCCCCGCCACCGCCTGCCCCGCCGGCTGCGGGCGGTGGCGGAGCCTCGCAAGGGCCTGCCCTCTCCCCCCCGCCCCGCAGCCTCTCACCGTGCTCCGAGATCGCGCCGGCTGCTCGGGAGGCATCGCCCCCGGCCCGTCCCTCTCCCGCCGCCGGCCGCAGCGCCATGGGGAGCGCGGGCACGGCCCGCCGGGCCAGCAGGGCACGGGCCGCCGCCGGCCGCGCCGGGCAGAGCGCCGGGAGAAGCCGCAGCAGCAGCGGCCGCATGCCCGGCTGGGGCGAGCGGCGCTGCCCGCCGGGAAGCCGCGAGGCCGCCGCGGGTCTGGCGGAGCCACCGCACCCCTCGGGGAAGCAGAGGGGGAACGGGTCCGTGCGCCCGTGGAACTACAGTTCCCGGCAGGCTCCGCGCTGGGCATGGCGAGGATCGGGGGCGGCTGAACTTCCATTCCCCTCTCGTCTTTTTCCCCCCTGCGCTCGGCAGCGGCGGCGCTCGGCGAGGCCGCCTCGCTCACGGTGAACGGCGTGTCCTGGAACGGGGGGTCCGCGTTTCACGCCTTGCTTTCACTCGGTACCTGAACGAGAAGCCGCTGCCCCAGCGGACGCCCCGCTGGAAGCCCGCAGCTAACGGGAGTGGTTTGGGCTGGCGTCGCCCCAAAACATCCGGCTGTAGCTTAGGGCTGCAGAGCAGTAATTAGCATTAATTTAGCTGCGATATGGGGGAGGATAGGCAGTCTTGCTCTAAAATGTGCTTTAAACTCCTTCCTTTACACGACCCTTCGCACAGCCCCGAGTCCTCTGACCACTGGCGCTAAGGGCTCTGCTCTGGCCATGGTCTCCTGTCGGGAATGGACCTCAGGGGTGTGCAGGAGGCTGCTTCTCTGAGGGAATGTCGTGAATGGGTGTTTTAAGATCACTTAAGGGAAGAAAGGGGAGACACTCCTTTCCTGCTTAAATAAAGATTTGATGCCTCTTGGAAGCCAAATCCTGTCATTGCGTTCTCTGGGAGAAGCCAAGCTAAACAGTGCCTGGTACTTTTGCAAATTGGCCTGACCATGTAGACCAGATCTGAGGGAGCAGATTGTATATATTCATATAAAGATTCCTACTTTCATTTTTAAAGACAGTAGGGATGGTGTCATGACCCATCGGTAGCGTGGTGACATTCATTGTAAATTCTTATCATGCTGAACAAAAACATGGAACTCCAATGTTTTATTGTACAGTTGTCATCACTCCAGCAACCAGCCCACTCTATAGACTCAAGAAGTGTTGGGTAACAAGCCCTTAAATTCTTACAATACACTAGTGAAGGAGAAAATACAAGAGCAAAGGCTAAGCCCTTAGTTTTGTAGAATACACTTCAATAAGTTCTCATCTCGCACAACAAACTATTCAAAGGTGCTGGCTCACAAGCCACAACATCACTTCTCAGAGGTGCTGGCTAACAAGCCACAACACACTTCCTCAAGCTCCCCAAACCCACAACAAAGTTCAGTATGGAGTACGGAGTGGAATATGATAGCCATGCAAAGCAAGGAGGGAGAGAAATAAAGACAAAAAAGGGAGACGGTGAACGAAGAATATCACCAGTCCTTAGATCCTGCATTGGTCCTGCTATGAATGGTCTGGAACTGGGGTTGTGGGTTGAAGAAAGCGAAAGAGAAAGAAAGGAAAAAGAGCATGAGAAGGTCCAATCTGCTTCCTTTTATAGTTAACCTGGCATGCACCTCTTACGTAAACCAGAAGGGTTCTTTTCAACATGTTTTGTTCACACGTGCACAGCCAGACCTTTGAGCTCTCCTCAAGCAGGTGAGTCCAGGGGTTGGACTGAGCACAAGTTTCAAGGTGGAGCAGGAAGTTGGGCAGAACAGTGCTGCCCCACCTCTGTGAGTGGTCTTCATGTGGTCTTCCAATCATACCTTTTCCAGTGTAACAGTCAGAATGTTTGAGACAAAATGTGCTTATGTCATCCACAGATGGCATAAAGGATAGTCATGGTAGGGAGGAAGAAGCATGGCTGCTGGATGTTAAAAGCTGGATGAAAGAAGAGTGAAAAATGAGGCCAGTTTCTGTATTTGGCTTCTCTGTGCTTTTCCTTTATGGGAGACAAAATCTATTTGGAAATATTTTACCACTGCTTTGATCAATTTTGAGATGTGTTTGGCATCACTGTCTTTCACACATTATTTTTATTTCATCTGCATAGTTCTGTGGAGACCAAAGGCTGGATGCAACACACAAGTCCAGATTCTGTGGGATCGAAGAGAAGCTTTAGGACGAGGCTGCTGGCAGTCTTGCTTATTATACACATTTCGTTTGAATATCAACTATTGTTAGGATAAGTGGTCACCTCTTCCTAGCCTGTTTACATTGTCAAGCACAATACTTCCATAAAAATTTGATTATAGATCCTCCAGGGAAGTGGTGGATTCACCACCCCTCGAGATTTTTGAGATGAGACTGGATGTGGCACTTAGTGCCGTGGTCTACTAGCCACAGCAGTGTTGGATCAAGGGTTGGACTTGATGATCTCGAAGGTCTTTTTAAACCTGGTTGATTCTATGATTCTAAATACCAGGAGGAAATATTTTTGGTATTAAGTGTCTTTTTAAAAACATGAATTTAAAAAGCAGATTTGGATCTGAAACTGCTCCAAATCAATTCATTAAGTGTTTCACAGAAATCTCCAGCAAGAAAGCTCTAGGAAAGAAAATAATTTCTGTTGGTACGATTGACAGGGGAATGCAATGCAATGTTTAAGTTAAGGTAGCATTTAATAGTCCTCTTAACAAATGAAATACAATGCATTTTTAATGGAGCTAAAAATAGTCTTTAATACCCACTAACCTTGCACTAAAATGTCAATATATTCCTTGGTCTCACAATGTACCTGAATATACCATCTTCAGGAAGTGAGAAATTAAAAGTTCTTTAGCTGGAGCTGATAACAGTTCCCATGAGTTGTCCCTACAAGTCACAAAAGTGGTGTTAGAGGGAAATGTTCACTGGAGGACTAGAAAACTGAAGCAACAAGTGATTTTTCTGTTTGCCCAAATGCTCTGCAAGTTCCATAGAGGTCACTGACCTGGTGCCTGGCAGAAACTGGTTTTCACTACTGCTTAGGCTTGGGCTAAAGCCAGCACTTTATCAATTTTCTGTGGCCTTGTCTTTATTAAAAAGGGTTTCTGATTAACCTCTCAGCAGTACAGTTTTCCCTTTGAGGGAAAAAAAAAATCACATTATGACAGCTGAGTGACGCTAACACAAGAGAGCAAGCACAGTCAGCCCTGTGATTGTATTGGCTTACACAATACACTGTGCACTGCCTGTGCCTGTTAGCCTCTCACCCACCTTTCCATCTCTTAATCCAACCCTCTAACTTCAATGAAATTCTTTAGAGTGTAAGAGGATTCAGAGGTAAGATATTCCCACATCTTTCTTATAAAGTGAGTGATCTGGGAGAAAAGAGAGACTTATTTAGCTCCCAAATGAGGTAAAGAAGAAACAATGCTCTATGTCTGTTTTTCCATGAAACAGTGGCTGGCCATGAGTATTGGTCAGCTCATTACGCGATAGGTCACGGTACATATTATCAATACATATTATGTCTTATCTTAGTCAAGCAAGAGATATGGGGGGAGCTAGGAGTATTTGGGACATGACTCAGTGTGGGAGGTTAGGTAGTAAAGGGCAGGAACAGGATGTGTTGCAGAGAGTCATGAAGGGGACACTGGGATATTATGTAGCATGTGGGAGAGAGTTGAGGGTATTGTAATGGGAGGGCATGGAAACTATAGGGGAAGCTTGGGTTATTGTGATAAGAAGGGAGGATATAACTGATGCAAAACAAGTCTTCATTGCTGTCACTGCTGATACAGCATCTTGTCTAACAAGCAAAGAAGAAGAAACTGATCTGATAGTAATAAGAGATTTGCTAAAGAAACAAAAGTATGAGGTGCAGAACTACAGATAATGGGAAATGAGAGGTAGAGGACTGCCTGATATAAGGTAATTTAATGCAAAGATCATAACGCAAATAGAGTTTCCACAATAACTGGTATAAAAGGAAGAAGTACATGAAGATGCTATCAGATGTAGTTAATGAGTAGTAACTACATTTGATTGACATCTGGCATGAAAAAGAATAATATAAATGGATATTTTCATGATCTGTTGATCACAGGAAGTTCATTTACATTTCAGAAGGGGGGAACAGAACAGTGGAAGTCAGCTGAAAAATTAACTGATTACAGCAGTAGTTCTTCACTTGCTACCGTCTGAATAGCAGTGTTGTGAGGGACTGGTTGTGAGGCACATTGGCTAAAGATCAGCACAGATAATAACACAAATGCTCTTACTGTCAATGTAGTGTTCCAGACACTTCTGGGTTCTTGCAGGCTTTTTGAGGAATGATGACTGCTGGGTAGAGAGGTGATTCGCCTAATAAAGTGGGGCAAGAATATCTTTGCTTATTGGCTTGCTAGCCTTATAAGGATGGCTTTAAACTAGGTTACTGAAGGATGAAGAAGCAGTCCCATCAGACTGAGCTGGAAGAGAACTGGTAGAGCTAGAAGAGATGTACTAACAGAGAGATAGTGGTAGATAATGGGAAAGCAGATACAGGATAGTATGATAGCAGAGATTGTCCCTCTTTGCCTGAGCAAGCAGCCTGCTTGGGGACCATCCCAAATGCAAAGCCTGGCATGCAGAGGGACCTCAACAGGCTGGAGAAGTGGAACAACAGATGCTTGCTATGTGAAGTTCAACAAAGACAAATGTTAAATCTTGCATCTAGGACATATGGCTTTTGGCAAAAATGTCTGGATGCACATCTGCACTTACTTAACATTTTTTACATGACATTTTTTACTAACTTGTGTTATTGTTAGGGTGTAATCCTTTGCTCCCTGAACAAAGCATTTATTAGAGCTAGTTCCTTTACACATTTGCTCAGCAAATTGTATCTCACTGGCTAGTTTTCGTACTTGAAGCAGCAGCCATAGAATATGCTTTCCTAATCTATGCTTTTCCTAATCTAATCTTTCTTTCACTTGTCAGCACAGAAAATCCATCAGAAATCACCCAGGTGAATCCTCATGCTACAGCAGTTACATCATCCTTTTATAGTAAACAAACCAGTCTTCCCTATGTTGCTCCACTATCAGGTTAAAAGAAGCTATTTATTTCTTTAGCTTTGTTTCAGAAGCACAGGTTTCATCAACTTGATAAACATCACTTCATCTTCCAATATACAAGGTAACTACAAT